GCATTCGCTTAAGGGTACGAGGCTGGATCTAACAATTTCCGCTGTAACAATATGTATATAAGTAGATGGTTTAGGTTAAGGTGAAGAGGCGAAGTAACCACAGTAATTGTGAAGCCCCTATAAACTTTGCAGTTGGATTTTTAATTTGCACGTGAATGTTTGAAAATAATTTAGCTTTTAAATTGGAGTATTTCAAGTTAAATTAGAAACGCAAATTGGGTAATAACATTTTACAATATATATTTAAAACATTGTCTTGGATTCCGTTTGATTTGGCAAAATTGAGGCATAAAATTGGCGGTGGCTCTGTTTGTAGAGCTGGTAGAGTTTGTTGGATCATTACACCGTTGTGGAGCTTTGATCTTCAGAGGAAGGTCGATCGTTGAACGGTAAATGCAATAAACAGGATCGGTCTTTCAAACAGACTCTGAGCCGCGTTAATGGCGTATCGCCCCTGCGAGGCGTTGTTTATTTACATTTTCTTTTATATCACAATGCCAATATGTTTTTCGGGCTTTGAGCCGGTTCGGTAATGAGCCGGGCCTCCGTGATGAGGGGAACGATGAAGGAGAGCTGATGAGTATAAACAATGTTGGGCGTCGAGGGAAAACAGCTTCCGACCGATGTTTATTGCCCTTAGCTTTCCAACACGTGTTTATCCCATTGCGGGATTCTAAATCAAATGGTGTCTTTGAGGCATCAACTTGCGGGGGTTCTCGAAAACATTTACAACCGATTCTGGAAACCGTTCCTCTTAGTCACACTTTTATTGTCTAAACATCATTTGTTCCTTCGGTAGATCTCGGCCGTCTCACCGCAACGGCGTTTTTCACAAATGTCAGATTTCACTCGGAAATGCAGCATGGGCAAACACGAGATGAGTCCGTCCGTTCATTATTAATGCCTGAAAATATAGAAAATAATTAATAAATAGACATTTGAAAATGGCAAAAAGAGGGAAAATTCGAACGGTTGTCGGTTTGCGATTGGTGTCCGAGAGGATCGAAGTCACGATAGCTCAAATGGTAGAACAGCGGCGTATTTAGCCGAAAGTCGTGGGTTCGAATCCCACTCGTGGCACTGGCTTTTTTATCTCAACCAAGACCTTAGCAAGGTCATAATTCATTGATTGAAAGAAGTAACTTGGTCAATTGACTACGATATAAATGGATTAATAAATAGATTTAACCATTAGCATAGTAAATGTTATGTTAAAAGATTTATTAGTGAAAATGTTAACTTAATTTTTGCAGCTTACTGAACAAGTAATTATTAAATTAATTGATATTTGTTATAATTTGAGTTAAGATTTATTGCCACAATTGTTGGTAATACTTATTTATTTTTGTAACCTAAATTTATTATTTTTAAAATTGATATTTTAATATTGCATGTTAAAAAATTAAATTTATATAAGATATTAATAGAAGTAACTTATATATAAATAATGCTCCTATAACAGATTAACAAATTGTTGAAATATGATAATATACTAGATTATAATATAATATATTAGATAATATAATATATTATCTATTAATATAATATATTAGATAATATAATATATTATCTATTAATATAATATATTAGATATTAAGCTGTGTTGTAATTTAAAATTAATATTTATGAAAAGTATTGGTTAAGATAAAAAAGTCAGTGTCACGAACGGGATTCGAACCCACGACCTTCGGCTCAATACGCCGCTGCTCTACCACTCGAGCCATCGTGACTTCGATTCGCTCGGACACTAACTTCCCAACTCAATCTCACCTCTCGAATTTTCCCTCCTTTTTGCCATTTTTCCATGTTTTTTATCTCAATCAATACCTTTCATAAATATTAATTAATTGAAAAAAGTTAATTGGTCAATCGGACCACGAACTGTAATGGTTGTAATTTAAGTTGAGATTTTTTATCACCATTGTTGACAGTATTTGTTTAGTACACCTAGCTTAAATTTTGAATTGATGTTTTCAATAATAACTTATATGTAAATATGCTCCTAAACCTAATAATTAAATTGAAAAATAGGACGATTATTAAGCCAACTCAGTTGATTTATGCCAGTAAATGTAGAAAATAATTAATAAAAAGACATTTGAAAATGGCCAAAAGAAGGAAAATTCGTACGGTTGTAGGATGAAATGGAGAGTTGGTGTCCGAGAGGATCGAAGTCACGATAGCTCAAGTGGTGGAGTAGCGGCGTATTGAGCCAAAAGTCGTGGGTTCGAATCCCGCTCGTGACACTGGCTTTTTTCTCTAACTAATCTATAACATTTAACGTTTTTGTCAGAAAATGTATTTTTTGGAAGGTCATAATAACAAACACTATTCTATTTTAACCTAGTAGTTCATTGGCAAGTTATTTTATAACTTTATCTTAGATCATCTACGAATAATTGTCTTACCTGGACTATTATTTTTTTGTAGAACGTATTTATTACTTATGAACTATGTGGTTTCCACAGTGGTCTGCGGGTAAACTGTAGTTTGGTCCTTTCCAATGATTTTGGTACCTCACTGTTTTGTATATCAGACGAATTTAGGCCTCCCGTGGCGGGATGAAGACCATTGACGGATTCAGTAGTGTTGAATGACAATAGTTTGATTTACGCGAAAGATTTGGAATTTTGTGAATCCTCGTTGATATCTGTTAACTAATGATAATGCGTCAATGGTCTTCATCTTTGATCATCTTTTGTCAGGCGCTTTTCGACATTCATCTTCAACAGTTGGTCTGTTCGAATCTCAGTACGTATGCATTTTTTTATAAGTTGTGATAACTTTTGAGAAATCCAAAAAGGATAGTAAGACCCAAATTGGTCGGAAACGACCAAACTTCAGTATATATTATAGCCAGCAGATTCTTATAATATACATTGACAGGCAAAAAAGTCCAACCACTTGATTTTTTAAAAATCTCGGTAAAGGAAAATTCTACCCTTAATATGTCTCATTGTTTTTATCAATAAATATTTGTTTTTGTTGTGTTTTAAATTGGGAATATTAATTAGAGGTAAACATACTTCATCCTTAATCGAAAATATAGATGAAGGATTTTTCAATGTTTAGTTTTTACGAAATTTAAAATGTTTATTCAGTCTCATTTGAATTCTGAAGCAATAAACTGTTTAGTTTTCCACTTAGTGCTGAAAATGTTGCGTGGTGAACATCAAAATTGATGATGGACGTTCCATCAGAGTTCCCTGTGAAACACTGCGAGACGCCGCTAGTCGTTTTCGAGAAATGATCGAATGGTTGGCACGATAAAGAAAATGTTTTTCTAAACCTACATCACACCAGACCGCATCTCACGATCTCCAAATAATCATTGACTAGTGGTCACAAACCATCACACGTTTTCGAGAAACTGGGTCCTACATAGGCTGGATGCCCTAGGATAACAGGATGACCGTCTTTTGACTTTGAGAATTTTGCGAAACCGGCAGCTTACTGTTGTTCAAGCGATTCATCAACTCCAGGAAGTTCGAGATGTCCAAATTTTTGAATGCACTGCTCGAAGAAGATTAAATCAGTACGCACTGATGGCTTTTCACCCAGTAAGAGGACCAGAATTGACCAGAACTCACAGAGTTGCACGACTAGCATTTGTTCGAGAACACAGCCATTGGTCTTTGGAAGATTGGTCTGCTGTACGTTTTAGATTTTCTCTGCGATCTCCAGAGGGCGTGAAAGAGTGTGGAGAAGGCGAAATGAAATGTTGGAAGCCTGTAATTTTTCCCAAAGCTTACCTTTTCAACGTACGTCAGTGATGGTGGGGGAGGGAATTCAATGGAGAGTCGCACTAACTTGGTTGTTTTGTTCGTGGAGGATCTTTGATGGCTTGACCCGCAATTCGGATGAAATTTTGGGACATCATGCGCTCCTATATTCCATGAAATCAGCGACAATCCTATTCTAATGCACGATAATGCCCGTCCAATGTGGCTCGCATAGTAAAAACTTAGAAATGTGTGGTGATTAATGACCGTTAATCGATATTTATTTAGAAATCGTGAGATGCGGTCTGGTGTGATGAAGGTTTCAGAAAAGCATTTTCTTTATCGTGCCAACGTTTCGATCTTTATTGAGATCATCTTCAGGTTCTGGAATTTACAAACATTGTTTAAGTTTAACAAATACATGTAGGATGTGGAAAAAAGTGAATTTATACAATGCAAAATATATTTTTGTATATTCAATCAAAGTATTTCTACTCCCGCAAAGTGTCTTCTGTGTAATTGTGCCATTCTTGCGTGTCGTGTCGAGAGTGCCAGTGAGATTTTGCTATTTTGAGTTTACGTACGTTGGATTTTGAAGGGGTGGGGTAGGATGTTGGTATAGAAAAGACATTTTTGTATAAGGCGTCGGCTTCTTTGAGGTGAAAAAGCCGACGAAGGGAAAAAAATGTGTTGGTAATGGTTCGGCCAGATTATCCTTTCGGGATTATATAGAAAGGGATAAATAGGAAAAGGAAAGCTAAATTGTTGGGAAATTAGACTTCGTGAAAAATGTAATTGTTATATGTAAACAATGTTTGTAAATCCCAGGCCCTGAAGATGATCTCAATAAAGATCGAAACGTTGGCACGATAAAGAAAATGTTTTTCTGAAACCTACATCACACCAGACCGCATCTCACGATTTCTAAATAAGTAAAAACTTAGGTTCAACAGCAAACATCAGGGCCTTAGCTTGGCCATCCCATTCTCCAAACTCGAGCCACATCGAACATAATTGTCATAACATATAAAGACGAATAAGAGCACGTCATCACTTCCTGATACACTAAACGATCTTGAAAGGACTCTTCGTGAAGAATGGGATAACCTATAGCAAAGAGGCATTTCCCGAATGGTAGAAAGTATGCCGAGGCTTCTTCGAGATGAATTTAAGACAAGAGGAGTAAATACACGATATTGAAATAAATTTTCTTTTCTAAAGTCAATTTTTTAAATATTATTTTAGTTGGTAAAATTGTCATTTTGTTTTTACCCTCAGGACTGACTGTAGTGGAAAATTCAGGCCCTTGTTCAGAATGTGTCAGCTCTGCGTTCAGGTGTTGCAGCAGGAGTTTGCCCCAGTTCTACCAAACACAATTTTTCCACACCCTCAACACTCCGAACATCCTTCATGCTCCGAAACCCATCAGGCCTTACACCAACCGTAAGCCCTCGATTCAAAACAGCCAATTTTCATAAGGACTCAATATTCTTTCTTTTCCGCAGTCGTAGTCGACAGGGACGAACGGGTATCGCTGGGCAAAAGGAAAAGATCCTGGTCGAGGGCGGTTTTTTCCAATTTACAAAGGAAAGGTCTTGAAAAAAGATTCCAAATGCAGAAATACATAACGAAACCAGACAGGAGGCAACTTGCAGCGACCCTGGGACTTACAGATGCACAGGTAATACTTCAAACCGGTTCTGCCAGACCCTGCATTGCAAACTATGAGCCCCATTTGTACATCTTTTGTTTTAGTAATCGTTTTTAAATATATCATTAACAGGAAGTCAGATTTTCTCAAAATAACAATTACTAACAGCAAGTGCTCTAATTATGATTCCTGTTTCTTTGAAGATTTAGGCACTCTTTCCAGAGGTAATATTATCTAACCGTTACTAACCTATAGCGGAGATATGTTTTATTTTTATTTTTAAGAAATAAATTTTTGTTTTAATTAAAGGTCAAAGTGTGGTTTCAAAACAGAAGAATGAAGTGGAGGCATACAAAAGAGATGAAATACCACAGCAGCTCGAACCAGAGTAGTATGCAAACTTCCAGTCAGAAGCTGGCAGCGACCAAAACGGAGTCGAGCCCAGAAATACACGTCACCTCCTCCATTCCTTACGTCAGTAATGTGTGACGACGAGAATATTGTGATCGTACTAGCCACGTGTAAATATTGATTTTAACCTGTACAAAGACAAATACAAAATATTTCAAAAATCACGGATGTTTATATGTACTTCCTGTGTAGTTTCTACAAGCTAAAAAAAAGTATAAATTGTTTTATTGTTGTCCTTTTACGTTATGAAAGTTGCTCTTTCAATCGTTGATAGTAATATATAAAAGGTTTTAAGTAAAAATTACTTTTGTTGGAAAAAATTTTAAGTTTTGGAATTATTAATGCATTTTCATTAAATCCCAACTGGAAATTTTTATAAGAAAGTTTTACACATCACAATTATTTTGTCGGGTAATAATGTGTAATCGAATAAACGGCTTGAACGTTAGGCTATTTGTCTTAACGCAAAGTGCGCATGTGCCTCAACCTCTTCGTGCCCGGTGTTTTCCATTTTTTAAGTGGAGCAGCTTATCATAAGACCATGTTCCCTAAGTTCGTGCTAGTTTTATTTATTATTTTTTACAGTAAGTATTTGATTAACCATGCCTCTTAAACAGTTTCTGGAAAAATCTTACGTTGTGTTAGAAAGTGACTGCCTCATCTTGGAAGGACTCCAGGTGCCCGAAGAAGGATTGCTGGGAGGATTGGTCATCCTGGAGTGCAGATTCCGTCTCGGCCATAAACCACTGTATTCAGTCAAGTGGTACAAAGAGAACGAGGAGATTTTCCGTTTCATGCCGGACACTAGGCCCAACACAAAATCGTTTCACATCCCCGGCCTTCGTGTAGACGTAAGTGAATTTTATACACTAGTTCCAAACTCTTCAACATTAACTTTTTCAGGAGTTCAAATCGGACATGCACAAGTTAGTACTCGTCAATTTGACCGGTAACGCGACCGGTTCGTACAAATGCGAGGTGTCGACAGAGGGGCCTTCGTTCGAGACCGTTTACGAAGTGGCCAACTTGACAGTTCTAGGTACTTTATTATTTTGTTTGGCTGATTTTAGTAATTACATTTTTCATTCTTTCGCTAAGGACCTCGTATGTTTGATGTTGCGTTTTGGCTTACCGCCATATAAATATTTAGAACATTTAAATTGTTCATGGGGGTTTACGATCATCCACTTGTCTGTCAGGCATTTCACCATCTTCAGTGGTGGTTTTGAAAAACAACAAGTAAAAAAAAAGTTACGACTTGCAAAATTGCAGACAGAACAACCACAAAAGACATTAAAACTTCATAAGAAGGAGTAAAGCCTACTTCAAACACGTGCAAAGTCTTAATCCGAAAAGGATAAACAAGTGAATAAGACAAATAAACAGAAAGAATAGATTTGCGATTTTACTTACAAAAGGACACGAAAGATATTAAAATAAATAAATGCGAGAACTGCCAGACCAAGATAATCAAGAGGATTTATTTATTAAAATACACGCAAAAGTTAGGTCTGTAGGACCTTTCTTACACTTAATGTGTTATTTCAATTATAATTTTTTCTTTATTGTCGCAACAGACATAAAGTAGAAATAACAAATTATTATAAAATCAACAATGAAGTAAATGAATAAAGTGAGATTAAATTGAACTTATAAGTTATATTTTTATACAGAGCATTTTATTGTTGAGCAACAGAATTAGATATAGATTTTTCACTAGATTCTTAAAAACTAGATTAGAACCTTCTCGAATTGGAAACGATTTAAAAATGAAACAAAATGCTAATAAACTGATTATTAACATTTTACAAGTTAATGTAAAAATATATAATAAAAAAGTGAATAAAGATAGTAATAAATAAAAATATATAGTATATGGTGTAATGTTAACTACGTAAATATTAAATAAGGTAAATGCTAATTTGTAATATTATATTCAACATAAATACTTAACAAGTATTTTTTTAAGTTTTACTTTGAATAATTTTATGCTTTTTATTTGAACTATATGTTTCGGTATTGAGTTAAAGATTTTTTAAAGGTTTTATTTTAAATTATTTACTATGTGTTTTTGTTCTGTGTTTTGGTATATGAAATAAGTAATTAGCTGTTAAGGTATTAATGTTATGGATATTGCATTGAAATTTAAAATTATGAAACGCGTAGGAAGGGTTTTTAGTTTATAGTAGATTGAACAAAAAGGCTGCTAGGGAATAGATTTGTTGGCCTTTAATTTTTTAACATTTTTAATATCAAAAATTTATCATATATTGAATCATATTTTAGGTTAAAGATATAACGGATGCACGTATTTTGTGCATTTTGAAGTTTAGTTTGTAAAGTATAGTTGAGATCACTCATGACGACTAAGTTGAAAAATATATGTCATAACTAAAGAATTAGTTAGTTGTAAGGTGATATCAGGTTTTTGGTAGGATAATAATTAATTATTTTTATAGCAAAACATATTTGTGTATATTTTTTAAAATCTATTTTATTAACTTGTGGTTCCCATGATAGACTATTAATCATAGTGAAACAAAGATAATCAACACTGTTTTCAAAAGGAAGGTTTGTACTATCAATAGTAACACTTGAGATATTGATTATTCAGAAATCGTGAGATGCGGTCTGGTGTGATGTAGGTTTCAGAAAAAAANAGACAGAGCCAGAATGCGCGTGAGTGTTTGTATGTGTCTGGTCTGTGTATAAATATATCTCGTATCTCAAAGCAATCAGTGTTTTCTAACATTTTTTATTTATTTTTCATTTTACGAGGGTTCGCAACAGCAGAGGTTATATCAACCCTCGGGGTGCCGGTGTTTTTGAAAAAACAAAAAACATTTGTAAGTATGTTGGGTTCGAATGCAGGGCCGCCGGATTCGAACCCGGTACCTTTACCTTACAGTGATGAGCGCCGTGTCAAGCCTAAACCTTTGCGGCCACCGACGCCTCTTCTAACATTATTATGTATTTAGTTTGGTCATGTCCGAATTATTTTTGCTATTTGGACTGTCATCGACCAAATTACACTTTTATCGCAGACTCATGAGGAAATGTCACAGTTGGTATGTATGTCGATTGTTTTGTGGAGTTCCGTTGATTCTGATCATTCCGGATTGGTTCTCCCCATGCTTAGTGGATATCTACTGATGAAGGCGAAATGGTGCATAGCAGGCCTCCGTACAAATATGTTACAATATCTATAGAGTTAAATTGTCTCGAATAAGTTCTAAACACACAAAGTGGATGAAAATTTTGCAAACCAAATATTCGTTTAAATTTTGGAGTTCCTGGACCTTTATAAAAATGATTATTTTCTATTCATCATTACTAGATATGCAAGACCACATACTCTCTAATATAGCTTCTATAAACAATTTACATTAGTAATGTTATTTTTGGCGAGGTGAAAAGACCAAATTTTATCTTTATTTGTTCATAAGTGAATAAACATTTAGAAAAAGAAAAATTACAAGGAACTCCCAGTCTGGCAGCGTTAGGATTGCGTGTCACAATTTCACGGCATTACAGGATATTGGTGCTAATGCCTTCCGTCGGTAAATTTATAGTGCATTATCTCAATTGCAACATCTTCCAGTCAATTACCTAAAGATAAATTACAATGAAAACAATTTTTATGGATAAAACGAACTTTTGATATTAATTTTTACTCAGCTAACATACTAGATATGGACATTTTTCCTTTTTATTGCCCAACTTCATATTAAACCCAACTAGTAAAATGATTTGCACTAGATAAATATATTTACGGGATATTTACATAAATAGGCACACTAGCAGACCCTTGTCATTCTTTCAAATCATCATGGCACTAACTTTCTTTGACAAATGGACTTTAAGATCGGAATGGATATTTTATTTGAAAACATGTATGGGAGCGTTAACGATTGTTTTAAACAGAGATTTGGATTGTAGGACTTGGTTTCGGTTTTTTTCCACTTACAATATATTAGAACAACCTTTAATTGGATAACAAGTAACAATGAGTATAAAATATAAATAACTAAGAGTGGAGAAACTGCCCATTGGCAGTACTCCTCTGTGCTTTCGGTTTTCTCTATTTAATTGTGGTTAATTCCACTATCACTGGAAAGCAGATCCCTGGCAATCATTTCTTTAGAGAGGAAGGATGGAGAGGTGTTCGTCTGGATGAGAGTTTTTGTATTTGAGGATTCAGGGTGGTTGGGAGTTTTGTGTAACATTGGGGATAACGAGAGTGGATTATTGGATAAACGGAATATTTAGTTGTTTTTTAGGTAGTTTAGTTGGATACTTAAAACGGGGCAGTAAGGATTTTTTTCGATAATTATGGTTTGGGATGGTACTCTCTGGATGCGGAGGGTATTAGAATCTTTTGCTGACTTCTTCCGATTTTTAGTCCGTATCGGCTTCACACTGTCTTTATAAAAACGTTTGACAATACATAGTTCTAGATACCACACCTTATTCACAACTGGGAGAGGTATTATCTTTTGCAGAAAGTGAAAAATATGCGAGTGGTTTTTGCTGGGTTAGTTTTTTTTTTTTACCAAGTGTCTTGTGAGGTGTGTGTGAATGAGGTGTTTCTGCAGGTTTCGAGTGTAAATGGTTAAATTAGAGCTACTTATGAGGATCACTGTATCGTCCACAGAGGTTAGTACGCCTCTATAGATGGACCGATTCAGCTATAGTTATAGCGTATATCTATTTAATTTTAATTTAGTTAACGGTATATTTTACACAACACACAGTAAGTGTTTCTGTTTGTGCATGCACAAAAATTATGATTAATTTTTCTTATTTTGTATTTTTCAATCTTTATTATAAGCGTTCGTTAATCTTTTTTATAATATGTGATTGAGCGTTGACTTGTTTTTTTTTTTCACTGAGGTAAAAAAAAAAAAAAACACCGAAAACTACAACAAAGGACTGCAAACAATAACAAACATTGCAATGAAAAACGGTTGCAAAACAAACACCATACAGAAACTTCTAAAAAACAAAACGAAACACAAATCAACAACAAATGGACAAAATTCACATACACAGGAAAAGAAACCTACAAACTAACAAATCTGTTCAACAAACTCGGACTGAAAACACTTAAAGACGTAAAACCTATAAACGCACAAACAAACTCACAATCACACACCACCTTCACACCACTAAAAACACTTCATAACAAAAAACGAAAACGTTCAGAAGAACAAAACATCGTAACCAACAACAGGAAAAAATAAAACACCAACAACGCACAAATAATAACTGACAATGGAAATAACCGCCACCAAGATCGACCAACAAGCACGGGGACCACGCCCCCTAACGCAACGCCCCCAGCGATAAACGACGGACGCAATACTATATAAACCCTACTCAGACTACATGACAGACAGTTTTTCACTGAAGATGGCGTAATGCCTAAACGCGTTTGAATAACTCAAACAAAAAACCCGCGAGTGAAGACAGATCCAGTAGTGCCCGTGTGCCAGTTCAACATGAGTTCGCCAACTCGCAGACCAAACCCCATCATCTACTATTTGTAGAAGTATTAATGGTCTCATGAAACAAACATACCCCCAGACACATTCACAGCCCATTTTTTTAATTTACTGACCCAACCAAGCTTTCGGAAGTATATTTCGCGGAGCCATTCATTGAAAACGCTATTCTTGATCCTCCCTTTACCTTCAGCGAGTTAAAAATGGTTTTGAATAGTCTTAACAATAACAAATTGGCTGGGCCCGATCTTATCTCGTGAGATGATGATCTCAATAAAGCTCGAAACGTTGGCACGATAAAGAAAATCTTTTTCTAAAACCAATGTCCCACCAGAGACCGCATCTCACGATCTCCATATAATCATTAACTAATGGTCACTTAACACCACACATTCTCGCATTTTTTTTAAATCTAAGATAATATTTTTAAATTTAAAATGGTAATAGCTTAGTTCATAATTGTATATATAATAATATTTTCATTGTTTTCTTTATACCAAGAAGCCCTGAATTTTTTTTCTTATTTATAATAAATTTTTATAATAATTTTTATTATTTCAACCAATATAAAGGGTACAACGCAATATGCCTGAAAAACAAGCGCATGAGAACTCTGGAAATATTTAAAATTCACTTTTTTGTTTGTTTGCTTCAGCCTTTCCAGACAGAGATCCAGTAGTAACTACTGATAAGTATATTTATGGACTGGGCGAATACATATTCGCAAACTGCACATCCGGCAGTTCGTTTCCAGCCACCTCACTCAAATGGTTTCTGAATGGCATTAAGGTAATACCAAAGGGTAGCGTTTGGTTGCATGGTATTAACCGTTCGGTTTAGATGGATAAAAGCTGCGTCAGCGAAGAAGGCGTTATCGACATCGGGAACGGCCGTTACAGATCCTTTTCCAGGATCAAGTTCAGAAGCAGGGGCGATCCAGGACGGCTGACGTTGTCTTGTGTTGGGAAGATCACCAAGACAACAAAACCGACGAAAACCCGACTCGTCCTTACAGTGGAGAGGCCAGCGAAGTACAACCTACTGACGGACGGTAGCGGTCTCTCAGGTGGGAATCCGAGTTTTTCTACAACTTTCAGAAAATAAATCGTCCTGTCGTTTTTAGAAAGCAGCAACCCAAGAGAGTTGAGCTTCTGCTTTCGTCTCCTTTACTTGTTGATGACCATTAAAGAAATCTGTGCGGGGGTCATTCTTCTAGAAACTTCCGATGGGAAAAGATAGGAAATGACCATTGTAAACCATTTCCTCGCCAGAAATCATAACAGAGAAATATAATTATTCATTATGATAAATAATAACATCCATAATTATGAATTACATTATTCATACTATAAGCGAATCGCTTTAAAAATAATTTTACATTGAAAATAATTGTAAATTATTCCTAATATTTTGCATCCACTTTTTTGTACAAAGGTAAATGTTAGTATGTAACTAACTATGTAATTATATTTATTAAAAAACAAAACAAACAGAAACATAAAGTTTGTGGTGAATAAAAAAAAACACTGAGGCATAGAATTTCTTGTACTTTTAATCAATCTTTATTATTTATGGTTCAGTTGAGAAGTATTGATTTTTTATAAATATTACAGCTGACAATTTTACACAAGCTAGCTTAGCAACAACGAGCGCGCGCGCACACACATGCAATCAAAAGAGTCGCAACATAAACAAATTAAGAGAATTCACGTATTTACAGCATTCAGTAACAATGAATAAATAACAGCAACCTCGCTAACACATACTTACAAACTCTCACAAACATACACACACTATAACAGAGAAAAAAAGCTATCTCTCCATTTCACTCACTTACACAAACAAACAAAAAAGCGAGAAAAAACACACACACACACACACATACACAAATTAATACAAAAATGAAAGTCCACGTGTAGAAATTTAAACCAATTACATATACACAAACATAGGAATTCTCCAACAAACACACACACTCTCTCTCTCACCCTCTCTCTCTCCCTCTCTCTCTCTCTCTTTCTCTTTCTCTTGATCACTCACTCTCTCTGTATCTCTCTCTCACACACACACTACACAAACCAGTATTTTTTTAAATTTTATGCTGAGTAGTATGCATAACGTTTTTTGTTAATTAAATGTTTTTAATTTGGATTATACTTCCTCAAGTACATAAATGTATTTTCTTTTTGAAAATAAATTTTTTTTTCATTCATTCATTCATTATGTAAGTTATTTAATAAAATTAAAATTAATTAAAGCCTTGTTATAACAGTGTGCAAAAAGTGGGTAAAAATGTGTTAAAATAGTGCAACTTCTGGCCTAGCGAATCAATCGATTGCAAGCGAAACGTTACGGCTTAATCTATAATAGACCTTTTAATTAATCATAAAAAGTACACATATCGATCTTGAAATATTTTCTTTTGAAACTGTAAAAAAATTTTGCTATACAGTGAGAGGTAATTATTTTCATTTGAAAAAAATATTTCTGTCTGTGCCGCAGTTATAAATGTTCTGTATGCAAACACCTTGTACGTTTCGTAAAAATGGAAATGCCTGGTTAAAATTAGAAGATAAAGAAACTGTTTTGTTTGGATATTGTTTTTCTTTCAACAGATCGTCAGCCAAAGAGAATCGAAAGAAGAAAAAAAGAAGTCCAAGACATTTTGTAGGTACCCAGTACATGTATATAAATAAACTGCTCAAAAACGAATAGGGATTTTTGTAATTTATTCTTATTCTATTAATTTTAATTAAATTAACCTATATATTCTTATTAATTGGAATAAAAAAGAAGCCAAAAACTAACCTCATTGTTAATAACGGATTTACTTAAGAATAGTAAACATGAAGATTATTCATTTTATTAAATTCACTAGTTTTCGTGGTCCGCTAGACCAATTAATATCTATCAATTAATTAAGTAACTCGGACACAATTCAAAAGGTGGGGTTGAGATGGGAAGGTAGTGTCCGAGTGGATCTAGGTCACGATAGCTCAAGTGGTAGAGCAGCGGCGTATCTAGCCGAAGGTCGTGGGTTTGAATCCCGCTCGTGACACTGACTTTTTTAACTCAACTAAAAACCGTAATTAATTGATAATTATTCATTTTGTAAACAAACACCTTTTTTCGTCTTTTCCCCATATTAATCCAGTTGTATCATCTTTAATCTTGGAAAGATATCATCTTGAACCAGAAGTTCGAACATTAGTGAGAATGAGTCATCGCGGTCACCGACAAGTAGATATCGCAGAGGCAGTTGGAGCTTCCCAGAACGTGGTTGTCTAATAGGAGGCTGGGTAGTGGATCTCAGCGCGTTACAACGATAAGTGGAGGACAGAAATATTGTCATTGCTGGAAGACGGAACCCTTTCCATTGTGCCCGCCAGATCCTAAATGAAGTACAAGATGTTTAGGCAAGCCTTTATAAACACAAACAATTAGTAATTGTTTGTGGGAAATTGGCCTCACTTCGCCCCTTTGGGACGACCTGCAGCAACAGCCCGCTACCAACACTCAGGAGAATATGGTGCAGCGTGCGCCTAGAAGAGAACAACGATTGGTATGACGTTATGTTTACTGATGAGTAGCGTTTCTGTCTGTATATTGATAGGAGACGCCAAGAGTCTACCGAGAACAGGGGGTACGTACAATGCCCCAGTTCGTGGTCCTTTCAGTGAAGTGTGGTGGTGGCCGTGTAATGGTTCTGGACTAGGATTTACACGGAAGCATGAACTGGACTCCACATTGTTGAAGGCAACATCAGCGCAGTCCGTTATGCCCAAGAAATTATCGAGGAACACATCCCTCAAACCAGGGCTCTCATTAGCAGCGATTTTCGATTTCTGGATTGCAATGGCAGACCTCATATAGGCAGAATTTTCATCAAAGTGTAGAAACCTGGGAAGTTTCCATCTGCCCCTTCCCCCATTTTCTCCAGACTTCAATCAATGACATGTGGGGTGAGTTGCAGATAAGGTTTTTCGATCACCACCCGCAGACTGTTGACCTTTAAGAACTGAATGCAGCGTCATTCTTTTTAAAATTAGTGACAACGTTATTAACAGTATGCCTAACAGGTGCACAGATATTTTAGCTAACACGGTATTAATTGCTTTAAAAAAATTATTATGACCAATAAACAAAATTATGGATTTAAAACCATTTATTTTTTTATTTGCCAAGTCCCTTAATTAAATTTTCCTCAGTAAGAAACAATATTTTCTAATTAATTTTAGTACAATTTATAATAAAAATAATATAAAAATGCTAGGGAAAGTAAATACTACAATTGCAATATCCCTATTCATTTTTGCGCAGTTTAGCTTTATCCTATAACGATTCCCAATAAATAATTATTCTCGTGTATTTATTACCTTATGGTGCAAAAACATTCAATGGTTAAAGGTGAAAATAATGGTACTCGGTTAAAAGTATCTCATTTATTGTCAAAACATACAAATCATTATCATGAAAACATTTCCTCTCAGCATTAAAAATGTTTGTATATTGAACATTTTCTTATTAATGAATTTTTACCAGATTGGATTGAGTTATAAGTGTCTTATTGAGTGTTATTTTGCTTCTCAGGGCAATATTTATTCTGACAATACGGTATTCCATCATTTCGACACTGGCAGAAATCACAGCTTATCCTGAATACTTCTCCGGGGATACAAGCTGGGAAAAGATGAGAAATTACAGTCAGCTACAGAAAAATCTTTAAAATTATTTTAATGTAATCAAACTATGTTGTAGGAGTTTCACATTTCTTTACATATAGTTTGGTACTTAAAACAAGACAAATATTGAAGTAACCATTCTCTTTTTCCGTCTATGTTTCGCAAATGTAAGTTATACACTTATAACACCACCTGTACTCTTCGATATGTGAATAGAAAATCCAAAAATACATCGAAATGAAGAGTTCAAACTACTGATTGACTGATCTATATAAGCTTAAATCTGCGAACGCACGTGCTTACATACACAGAGCAATGCTGTCACTCCGGCATTTCCAGCTTTTGTAATTTACAATAAATTACCGGCAGGTCTCGAGAATCACCTACTCCGGCTGTTGGTAGTCATAACCGACCAGGGGGCTAGTTCCCAAATCCATTCAAACGTTCACTCACTCTGCAATACATTCTTACTTATTTACATACAATTCCCTCAGTTAGGGTGCTGGAGTACTCGATATTCCTTCTTCACCCGTTACACATATTTCATAACTAACCTAATTGAGGGTCGATGGGATAGTCCATATTCCATCGTCTCCCTGTCACACTACACTTTCGCGCTAATAAATACATTCACTCAAACACATCTAACTGAACATAAAACAATACATATATCAGTATTACATACATTAAAAACAACTCGGTTTCATCCAATAATCAAAACTGGAGACCTAGACACCGGCTGCCATGCTCAAGGACAATTCTCATATGGGGCGGTATGCCTCCTTTCCTCTCAGCCGACTTAGGCCACGGACGCTGCAAGTTTCTTCTAATCATGTATTTTATTTCATTATTAGCGGCATGGGGCGGGATATTTGGTGATCGTGAGATGCGGTCTGGTCTGACGTAGGTTTTAGAAAAACATTTTCTTTATCGTGCCAACGTTTCAATCTTTATTGAGATCATCTTAAGGGCACAGAGGGTACATGTTTCATTCTTGTGTGTCGTGTGTAGGGCAATCTCAACACGACACACAAGAAAGATACATCGATACGGAAAACAAACACTTTGAGCCCTGAAGATGATCTCAATAAAGATCGAAACGTTGGCATGATAAAGAACATGTTTTTCTAAAACCTACATCACACCAGACAGCAAACCACATTCTCCAAATAATCATTTTTCAAAAAGAAGGTTCTGGACGGAACATGGACAATTTTTGAAGGACCAGGTGAGAATTATAGACCAAAGTTTCTCATATAATTATACAAACGATCAATATTTGTAATTTCATCAAGACCAGATGTAGTACGATTTCTGCAGGGTGAAGAACGTGTATTTTGGGCTTTGCTTATCATCCTCGTTTCCCTACCTTAGCTGGTTTTTTCATGGACAGAAAACACACAAACTTGGATGACGAAATGCCAAAACACTTCCGTCAGACAAGGATGTTCGGTAACGACCGAATTATAATGCCAGATTTGATTATTTTTCCGTTGCTAATGATGTCAATTGAAAAAATTTCTTAGATCAGTTAAAATTCTAAATAGATTATTTATATATTATATAAAATTAGAAATAAAAATTATGAAAATTCCATACAAAATTAATTCCGTTAAATTAGACATTCACCAATATGAAAAAATCACGAAATCTTGTAAGTACTTACTCAATTCGTATGGAGTATCTGGTGGAATCGTGGGAACGGAATTTAAAAAATCTGAAAAATATTACATTTAATTAAATTAGAATGTATTAAAATATTACGTTTTTTTCAAGAGCTGACAGGATTGCTCTTAGATAAGAAAGAAGTCCATTTAAAAACAACCATCTGTGCTTACTTTTATCAAAAATGGTAACTTTTCAAACTTCAATACGTAGAAATTAAAAAATAATTCTAAGTGAAAACAACTTGCCTGTATCATTTAATAATTCACGCACCCTTTCAGCGACTGCCTTCAACTCCGGGGTGACTTTAACTTTATTGGGTCGGCACTTTTCTAAGGGTTTGCAGGTTGCTTTTCCGAACTGGCAGACGCACTTTTTGCAGTCTTCTTTCCAGAAACTGTTTTCAACGCACCCTGAGATGAAATACTGTTATTTGATACACTTGTAAAAATTTTAACAAAGCGAGAAAGCTTTTACATGGAATATACAGGAATTGAGAAAAGTTGAAATGCATAAACCAAACAAGCACCTCTGTTGGTTGGGAACAAAAGCGAAACTTATTTGGGCTAATGAAATATTCCCTGATCATCTTGATCTCAATATTTTAGCAGTTTTGGCGAAATTCAGAACCTTTCAGGAACCGGAAAATCAAGATTGTAAACGAACAAATTTCCACTATTATACAATGTGTGTCAATAAAATCACCTAATTAAATGAAATTTGTTTACTCTGTGGTGGCAATGAAGGTACAGCAAGTCGGTCAAAGAAAAAAATAAATAAGAGGAAAACTCACTGAACTTGACCCCGATCGGAGGTGCTGAAACAAAAAAAATCTATATACTCTACAATGAATTTATTTTCAGTAATCACCTACCCGTTAGAATCTCAGCAATAAATGCCGCAGAAACCGTGAACAGGAACAAATTGGTCGAAAACATTTTCCCCTTCTAACCCGAGCTGTAATGGTTCGAATAGAGGATGCGTGGTAGTTTTATATACGGCCCAGTTGCGTCATTTGTGAATTGTGGGAGAATCACGGATGCCTTGCTAAAATTCTTTTGTTTTGCGGGTAGTTTCTCATAACAGAGGCAAGCGGATCCTATTCTTCGGTTGTAGATCCTTAATAATTAGTACATTTATTTGATTAATGATAAAATATACATATTTTGAAAGTGACACCAAACTGAAATGTCAATTTAGGATTTTTAATTTGACTAGAGCAAATTCCAAAATTGTAGTATTGAAATATTTGGAATTTGTATTGTTATTAGTTTGTTATTTTGCGTTACCAACTTGTGACAACAAAACTACGTAAATAGTTCTAAAAATAAATTTATTTCTTTAAAGCATTTGACAACTATCTGATAGTATTTAGTTAATTGCCCAACACGTGGATCCATCAGAGAATTAGTTAAAAATAAGGGCTGTAGTTTTAGGACAAAGTATGTGTCCGGCATATAGAGCAATCGTTCATAAAAACAAAAATTTTGGTCGATCTTGGTCTGGAAGGCAGCGAAAAGTCAGGCGAGGTTCTAAGGCCGGGACGTCCCAACCTCCGGACTTAACCACCGCGTTTGGGCCCATGACGCTGAAAATGCAATAAAAATATTATTCGAAAAAAAAGATGATGAAAAATGATTCAGTCGGAGTCCCAGGATTATAGAGGATGGGTCTAACCACCCGATTTAGAATAGGCCGTGCGAGGTTGACACATGGACACTTCCTTTTGGGCCAAAGCCCGCGTAAGTGTCCGGCAGGTAGAGAAAGGTTGCTCGAAGTCCACCTAATTGAAGATGCAATGTCTAGGTACCATGAAGCGCGTAGAAATGCAATCCGAAATGATAGTTGTAGCAGGGCAGCAAGGGTCCCCTGTACATTTTTGAGAAGAAAAAGGGTTTTTATTGTATATGATATTGATAACTTTGTGTCCCTAGCGTATGCTGAGAGTGAATGTATTTATTGGTGTGTATGTGTAGTGGGACCGATGGCAGAACATCGACCCTCAATTAGATTAGTTATGTGTATGTGTAGGGTGATATAGGAATATCGAGTATCCTAACTGTGAATGGTATAGAAATAGTAAAGAATGGAGAGAGTAGAGTGAGTAGATTTAATTTAGAAATTGTTTGCGTCGGAGGCTTAAATCAATGAGCTGTTGATAGCCACTGAAGCCCAACTTCAGTGGCTGGAAGGATAAGACGATATTTGACCTCAGACACCCAACACCCGGGGGTGGGGATTTTCGGTCCCTGCCGGTAATTTATTGTAAATCTCTGAAAAGCTGGAATGGCGAGTTGCGAGAAGTGATAAAACTTAATTCTGTACATGCGTGAATGTATACACATGAGTGTACATATTTGAGATTATATAAATCAGTAATCAGTAAGTATACGTCATTGGTTCAATGGAACTCAGTTTCCGGACAGAGGCATGCAATATAGTTCATCAAACGACCATCACAGAAATTAGAATGATGTTAGGACCGTCATATGGACACTGAAGGTTCTGGTGCAGCAGAAACAAGACTGTGCGGATATTCTTGGAAGAACAACAAACAACAGAACGTTCCTCTATTACTGCAAGTGTCTATGCAGTCTGAGATTCCTATTTCGGATGAAGAAAAGCCCAAGCCAAGGATGAAGGAAATAAAATAAAATGGGATTTGGTGCGTTGAGTCGGAAAGTTGATGCCGACCAGTAGTTGTAACGTTGTTGCCAAGTGTGAAAACTAAAAGATATAAACCGTGCACTCTATAATTTATATTATTATTAACAAAGCGCCCCTCATTCCCTATATGTGTTACGTAGGTGTTTCTCAGATGCCAGCAATTGGTAAATAATCTTATCACTCCGCTGAGTTCAGCCCTCTATTTGTGAGTATGCAGTATTGGTGTGGGTAGTTTTAGCATAACCTTACTGTATCTAGCACCTCTGGCGTTTATGCATTTCTCTTTTTTTTCGTTTTTGCAACTATTTTGAGATGGAGGAATGTACGTTTGATTTTGTTAACCTAACAATAGGATCAGGACCTATATATAGTCGTGCAGATCCTCCTCTAGCTGCTGTGTCAGCCTTTTCGTTATCTAAAATAACTTTGCGTGCTGGTACCCAAAGGTTGTATCTCTAGATTGTTGAGATTTTGGATGCATTGGCTGATTAATTTTGATGTGATTTTTTGATCATGCTTTATTTCTTGGCTATCCGACCCCATGAATAGTCAGTGTAACCTATTTTAAGAATTGTTAAGTCACAAGCGATGATGGCAAGCATTTCCCCTTGATATACCTATGTATACTTCCCTAATGAGTTTGACTGCTCATATTTTGGGCTTGTACCAAAAGCACCCGATCCGGGTCCTTCATTTATTTTGGGGCCAACTGTATACCATATTAATGTGATTTCCTCCTGAACTCTTCTTTTACCTTGCATTCCTTTTAAACTTTCGAATATTGTAAAGTGTTTCCGGGATAGTCAATACCCATTTTTAAAAATAGGTTAAACTCGTTTTATTAATTATTGTTGTGTGCTGGAAGCTTTGCCGACTTAATAACATGGCTTCTAATTACTCACAGTAACTTTATAAGTAATAAAATAATAACAATCTTTTATACAAAACAACAAATAACTTAGACAATGATGTACTATTTCCGCCCTGTTCCACCACTTCGTTCTTGATATCCCAATTTTATCTAGAAAATCAATCAATTATTCATTATTCATGAATTATTCATCATAAAATATTTGATTATATTCTGCTTCATTTGTACCTTTGTTCAAAATATTCTTCTACTCTTCAGTTAGTTAATAATCCTACAATCAAGTTGGGATCGAGGAGAATCTCACGCTCTCTACCAACGCAGTTGACAACATGTAGTTTCTCGCCGATCCAAAAAGATGGCAGATGTTGTAACTAACTGTTATGGTACATTTTTAGGCGCTAGATGGAATGTGTGGTGATTAGTGACCATTAGTCAATGATTATTCGGAGATCATGAGATGCGGTCTGATGTGACGTAGTTTTAGAAAAACATTTTCTTTATCATGCCAACGTTTCAATCTTTATTGAGATCATCTTCAGAGCCTGGGATTTACAAACATTGTTTAAATTTAACAAATACATGTAGGATGTGGGAAAAAGTGAATTTATACAACGCAAAAAAATATTTTTTATATTCAATAAAAGGATTTCTACTCACTCAATGTGTTTCTTTTTTGCGTAATTTTGTCATTCTTGTGTGTCCTATTGAGAGTGCCAGTTAGATATTTCTGTTTTATGTTTATACAGGGTGTACCAGTTCCTTCTGATGAAACTCAGGGAATCGATTCTACTCTTCGTTCGGAGCAAAAAATGCTCACGAGAAAATTTTCGGAGTTCTGTATTTTGAAGATATTCGTCAATTTAGGTTTTTTCAGCTTTTCTCTACTTTACCACATAAAAACGCTTACACCTTCCAAAATGTTGCAACTACAATAAATCAAATTACACCATTTGAAAGAACGCTAAATTTTCTGTAAGATACTTCTTTGTAATAATCTGAATGACATAAAATGTTAGCCAATATCAGTTGGAACATGTCAAAATTACAAAATTTAAAATTTTGGTCATGATTGCACGTTCTACTGAGGTTACAAAAAAATACCAAATTTTAACAAAAACTTCTTCGTCTAATATGCTTTACGTTGATATATCCAGGTTTTTAAATAACGTTCTAGTAGAGTTGAAAAATAACAATTGAATGTTCGAAAACGTGAACTAAGGTAAATTTGAAGGGGGGATAGAAATTCAGAAAGTCATTTATGCATTCGAGAAGAGGGAAAACACTTTGAGCATTTCCTCTGAAAAGTTCCTCCATTATTGTTAGGTGTTTGCTACAAGAAGAACCATTGCATTTTATTGTATGAAGCTTTCTTGTATGGTTTTTGTGAGATTACAGATGTGTCCTTTTTATTTTACAAAGCGAGTTCTAATTGATTTATTTCTACCTCCGAGGACGAGGGCCCTGAAGCAAACCCTGGGACTCCTCCCCAGAGGAGATGTCGCCAAAGCACACCTCATTGAAGGCGGATTCAAAACAAAGGGTGGCTAATGCCACGCTCCCCCAGGAGAGGTCAGTAACATTCTATTCTCAAACTTCTCCGGAACCGTGTGTCGCGACTATCCGTGAGAGGCAAAAGTGTTTTGGATTCACGAATTACAGAGAGGAAAAGAAAGTATTCAGTCAAAGGAAATTATGTAAAGATAATTAATAGGGCTCATTACAAAAGTGGGCGCGAAAAATAAATTGACCAGGATCGAAGAGTGAAAGGACAGGTGTTCAAGGATTATCACGATAACTATAATCCAAGAAGATCCACAACAACTCCAAATCATTCGTATTAAATAATCCAATTTTCAACACTAAAAATTCGGCCCTATCAAAATTTATAGTGACGATCTGCGTCAGAAGTACGCACGTATTGAATGTGTGTAAAAAAATACTAATAAACATATAAATAAATTTATAGAGATTAGTGACCGTTAATCGATAGTAATTCAGATATCGTGAGATGCGGTCGGGTGTGATGTAGGTTTCAGAAAAACATTTTCTTTATCGTGCCAACGTGTCGATCTTTTATTGAGATCATCTTCAGGGCTTAAATTATTTGTCTTCTGTGTAACACGACACGCAAGGATGGCACAATTACACAGAAGACAAACACTTTAAGCCCTGAAGATGATCTCAATAAAAGATCGAAACGTTGGCACGATAAAGAAAACGTTTTTCTGAAACCTACATCACACCCGACCGCATCTCACGATATCTGAATAAATGAAAGCAATACGACAAAACAACCAACAACGACTATTTTAGTTAAGAATGGATATATAAATAATCTTTTAATTAATTAAAGATTTTAGTTGAGATAAAAAGTCAACTCAGACACTAACTTCCCATTTCAACCCCACCTTCGAATTTTCCCTCCTTTTTGCCATTTTTCAATTTATCCGAGTGGATCGAGGTCACGATAGCTCAAGTGGTAGAGCAGCGGCGTATCTAGCCGAAGATCGTGGGTTCGAATCCCGCTCGTGAAACTGACTTTTTTTATCTCAACTAAAAACCTTAATTGA